GAACAAAATTCTAACTCACAAAAAAAGACCAGACTTACTGGCCTGACAGAGACTGGAGAAACTCCGAGAGTATGGCCCCCAGACACCCTTTTAGCTCAGTAATGAAGTCACTCCCGTTAACCCTTCAGCCAAAGATTAGATAGCCCCATAAAACAAAACAAAACTAATGGAGCATAACAGCCCAGGGACAAGGACTAGAAGGCAGGAGGGGACAGGAAAGCTGGTAATGGGGAACCCAAGGATGAGAAGGGAGAGTATTGACATGTCATGGGGTTGTTAACCAATGTCCTAAAACAATATGTGTACTACCTGTTTAATGAGAAACTATTTGTTCTGTAAACCTTCATCTAAAGTACAATTAAAAAAAAAAAAGAAAGAAAGAAAGCAGAAAAGCAGGTACAGAGGAACAAAGAACTAAAAAAAAATTATTGTGGCAAATTTTTTTTCCTTCATACTCAAACAGAACTTAGTGAACAGACTAGAAGAGCTGGAGCAAGGATATCAGTGGGGATTGATGAGTATGTATTAGACTTGTTCAGTAAATGGGAAGCAATGTCAGAAAGAATTTTGACTGATTTTTGTAATTTAATAGAGCATAGGCCATACTTTAATTCAATGGTTATGTGTTTCATTTTGTTGATGAAAAAACTGAGATTTATAGGTGTGCCAAAATATCTAATAGTAACAAACAACAACAACAACAAAAACCCAAACACCCAAGAAATGAACACTTTGAGAAAATGAAAATATGTTAAGTGACTTATCTTTTCTACAGTTTAGAAGTTTCTTTACTGGTCCTGTAACATACATTTTAAGAGTCTGGTTATTTCAATGTGAGAATGTATAGTTAGCTCAGGTATAGTAGTTCAGGAAAGCAGTTGTTCTTCCATATCTTACCTGCATAGGGCTTCAGGATTCAGCTTTGGAAACTGACATGACTTGGATCTCACTTTTTAGCTGTGTGACCTTGCGCATGTTACTTAACCTTTCTAATCTTCATTGTCCTCATCTATTAACTGAGTTTAAGTAATAATACCTACCTCATAAGGTTGCTATGTATATAAATATGTATAATGTTATAAAGTATATAAAAAGCTTAATAGATATTCACTAAATGGTAAATATTATTATTTTAAATAATACCTTTGAAGTTTCAGTGCTTTATTGCTCTATCATTACCTTCAACTATTTTGTGCCATTTTTTTTTCCCTTGGGGAGGAGAGATTAAATACTCTGTGAAAAAGTGAGTCATACGTAAAGCACAGGTGATCCATGAAAATTTGTTTCAAAAATTGGTTTTGTTCAAAGTTTACTTTAACATGATTATATTGTAAAATCCCTTTAAATTTAAGTATGTTATATAGGATAACATTATTCACTTAAATTTTAGTTCATATTCACTATAGCCAGATCATATATTGTGTAGACTTATAATTATGTATTTTTTAAAAAGCCCCAAACAAGAGACTAAATTTACAGTACCTAGCACACTCCTTTGCTCAATCAAAGATCAAAAGGTAAATATTTAAAATGGCTTCTTTTGAATTTATTTAGGTAATAATAAAATTGAAAGAACTAGAAATTCATTTCAGAAGGAGATTCATCTGAATAACATACTAGAACCTAGCAATTTTTAGCCTTAGTAATAGATGATTATGATATTATACTTGCCTAGTGCAAAAATTGAGTGAAGTTCTATAAAGACAGGCCACAGAGAATTTTTTTGACATCTTCTGGTAGTTTTTAATACAAAGCACTAGCAATATCATTTTCCAAGATGGTCTTAATGAGATTCATATTACCTAAATTTTAAACATTGTTGAAGATCTGCCTTCTCCAAAAATCAAGCCGGATCTGGAATTTCTCCCTTGACTTGGCTCATGTTTTTATAATGGAATCTTAGTGTCTATCACCAGAAAGGCAAACTGTATGACATGCTCAGGATGCCAGTGCACTTCTGAAGTCTACCCCTCTCTTATTTTTTTTTAAGTATCGTTTTCTTTTCCCTCTGTCCTGTTTCTGTCCCATAGGCTATTGCATAGCCCATTTGTTAGAACCTTCTCTGTAGACTAAATACAAGGACCAATTTTGATCTTCTGCCAGACTCTGCCTAGTTGAAACCGTGTTAGGCTATTAAAACACTCCAATTGGGAATCCCTAAATTGCCAGTAAAATACAGTTGAGAAATCACCACTGGTTTGGTTAAAGATGTAAAATTATTACTAGTTGCAATGAAGTGTTCCATTGAATTAATTAAAAGAATTAATCCAAACAGCATTATTTAAACCTTATTGCTCCTTTGCATTTTGTATATATAATATTGATTAATGTTGACAGGGTTCTAATTAGCTTATTTATCCTGTATTTTATAAAAATATTTCTGTTATGCATCCTCATGGGAATGCTCACGAAGTTAAAACCATTAGTAAAAGATAGATGTGAAAGACAATGGGTAGAGACTTGAGGAAGAGTTGCCCCCCCCCACTTCCTTTGGTAATAAACTAAACAACTCTGATTATAATCTGAGCCGGCAATAAAGATTTTTTAAACACAAGGCCCTTTAAAATAGGTCAGTTCACTGGAGCACAAAGACATAATAGTAACTTTCTTGAGTTTCTTTGTTCGTTTTTATTAATGCGGTGGACTTAATTGCTTTCACAGCTATGCATGATATTTTTAAAAATCCAGTGATATTTTGATCAGAGATTGAGGTTACGTTTATGTTTTATAGTTGGCTCAAAATGGCTCATAACATTTTATTTTCTCTTCTCAAGAAAAAGAAACTTTGAAAGGTGAATTGTTTAGGAAGTGCAGCTCAGCCAACAAAATGCATATCTTTCTCTACTTAGTGATTGTATAGGCCAAAGATGATGGTAGATTTTAACCATGAGCTTTCTATGATTTATAGAGATTCACTATTCACCATATTCAACAGAAAACGATTCCATGGCCTTTAAATGCCAATAGAGTAAAAAGTCTCTCATGTCATTCTGAAACACTAGGTGCTATTGATCACTCAGGAGATGGTGTTTACCAACTCCCAATATTTTTTTTCAGATTTCTTAAACTCGGTGATTCAATAAGTGGTTCATGAATCGCCCAGAAGCCGTCCTGATTAAATAATAAAGAACCTATTTCCGTTAAAATGGACGTGTTATGCCAGCTTCTGATGTTTTCCGAGGAGACGGCTTTGCAGGTAGTGTCCTTCCTATCTGCCTGCGGGACTTATTTATTTATTTATTTATTCAGGAAACAGAGAAAGATGAACCTGGTATTATGGCTCACACTCATTGATGACTTTGGGCTAATGTACCGGGCAGTGGAAGGCAGCCAGAAGTAATTTAGGCCACTTTTTCATACATTTTCCACCACGTAGGGGTAGTACAGAGTTAATTTCATATAGTTTTCAACCAGTTCTGGGAGCTCTGTGAATCACCTCTTGCTCTATTTAAATTAAAGTCTGTTAAATTGTTTGAACTGTCAGAGATCCATAACAAAATTTCCTACAGTTCCAAATTAAATACAGACTAGCCATTTTCACAGAAAGCATGGAAGCTGAAAACATTGAGAAGCAATTTTATGACTGAAGATGAACTAGGAGGAAAGGTGAGAGTAGAACAACAAGAGAAGTGAAATAAGATGACCAAGGCACGTATTTCCAAGACACTCACTAGCAATTACCTTCAAAGGTCAATATCAATCTATAACACAGAAAGTGATCTCTATTGATGGGACTTTTTTTTTTTTTTTTTTTAATAGAATCCAAAGAAACACCTTGGCAAAATAGATTTCTTTTCCTTCCACTTACCTGACATTTCTTATGGGGCCTCACTCTAACCATAAATATCTTCGATAAGTCATAGTTGCATATGGAAACAAAAGAAGATAACTGAGTAAACCACTGTCAGTACAATATTTGTTTTCCTGGAGGTTTCAAGTTCAGTTGAATTCAAGCACCTCAGTTATACAGAGGGCAAGAGAGATAGGTCGGACTTAGAATAGTTCATTTAAGAAGGTAAATGTTAGTTTTAAGAAGATTGATAAAGCACTTTATTAGAATATAGTAGGTAAAACATTTGATAGTACCAACCTGATTCATTTTTGCATAATTTAGATATATCAGGATAACTTTGAGGCAAGAAAATAGGAGATAGCCTTAATGTTAACTTTTTGTTGTTGTTGTTAAGAGACTGTTAAGATATGGACAAGGTTATTTAGAAAGATTTATTTTTTAGATTGACTCACTGTGTTGTAGACTGAAGGTCTATACTTTAA